GCTTCAGGGTTGGAGGATAGTTATTTACCTAATATGATGGAATTTAGCATGTCCAAAAACTTTAAACAAGAAGTGCAATGTAATTATTTAATTAGCAAATAATTTTAAAGGCAAGGCGCACTCAATTTAGAAAATTATGCACATAAAGTTATTACACATAGCATGAGATCCATTCAAAGTTTGCTTGTGGCCCCCACAACCATGTCTATGTGATAGACATATTTGTCCACTTTGGGGATTTGGGGTGAGAATGTATATACAAACCAAAATTCAAAATCACTCAACTATAGTTACCTAATCAATAGTGCATTGATTAGTGTTCTGTATATACCAAGGGGATGTGGGGGAAACTATTGGTCTCTCTAGTGAAGTGGCCTCACCAAAGAAAAGCAGTTCCAGCCATTACAAAAGGTGAGTTAATTAAGTTTTGACCAGTAGAACCCACAAATGATGTTATAAATATTCAAATGTCCCTTGGCAGAAAAAATATTCCCCGCCCCTGATCTAATGTGTTAAATTTAGCACACTTATGTGTGTTTTTCCCCCCATTTTTCTATAGAAAGCTTGGTAAAAATATATTGACTGGGCAATCACTGTATTTGTACATGCCAAGAATAGTGTTTGTTTGTTTTTTTTAGGACTAGTTACTTACTATTTGGAACAGTAAGCCCATTATATGATAACATAAACAACAGTTTTCATGAAAATTCATTGTTTCCAAGTCAGACAGCAATATTGAGTGAAGAGTGACAGTCTGCGTTTTTGCAGTTCTTTTGAATGACGTAATCGCATTTGCTTTTGTAATCAGTAAGTTGAAATCCATGTAGAAAATACAGTCTCACTAATAGATCGTGGGAAAAGAAAGGAGTATTTTATTAGCCTTTGCAGATAATTGTGGATATTCTTTGATATTTTCTTAAAGATTAATTATAATGTAAAATCTCAAAGTGTATCTCAACATTACAAAATGTTGTAATATTTTATTATAATAAAATTCACTGGGGTGTCTTGCATTTGAAATGGATGTTTCCCTTACACAGTTTCATAGCATGTCTTGGTTACCTGAAAAATAGGAGTCATGGATTATGCATAACTTCATGCACTTGAGATACTGTTCTGTTAAGAAAAAGTAAATAGGTACCGCAGAATGCAAATTATTGTGTGCTATTAGACAAGTATTTCTTTTGTCCCATAACTTTCAATATACCTATCACTTTTCCATTGTTGCTTCAGTCTTAACATTAAGTTAGACAAATGGTATACTGTCAGACTTTCTTTTTATTTTTTTTAAATCATTTTATTGGGAGTTCATACAACTCATCACAATCCATACATACCTCAATTGTGTAAAGCACATTTGTACATTCGTTGTCCTCATCAAAACAAACATTTGCTCTCCACTTAAGCCCCTGGCATCAGCTTCTCATTTCCCCCCTCTTCCTTCTTGCTCCCCCCTCCCTTATGAACCCTTGATAGTTTATTATTTTGCCATATCTTAACACTTTCCGACATCTCCCTTCACCCACTTTTCTGTTGTCTGTCCCCCAGGGAGGAGGTTATTTGTAGATCCCTATCATCGGTTCCCCCTTTCCACCACCACCCCTCCCTCCACCGCCACTCTCGCCACTGGACCTGAAGGGATCATCTGCCTTGGATTTCCTGTGTTTCCAGTTCCTATCTCTACCAGTGTACATCCTCTGGTCTACCCAGATTTGTAAGGTAGAATTGGGATCATGATAGTGGATGCGGAGGAAACCTTTGGGAACTAGAGGAAAGTTGTATGTTTCATCGTTGCTACACTGCACCCTCTCTGGCTCCTCTGTCAGACTTTCATTAAAATGGAAACAATTCTAAATGAAAATGCCTCCTAAGAACTGAAGGGTATTTAAGTATGACATATTTCATTTCACTTTCATATAGTCATTCTTTCATTACAGAACGTTGTTTTGCTTGAATAAATAGAATTTACGTCTTATGAAAAAACTATTTTGAAAAACTAATAACCATTTTGCACCTACTATGTCTTAAGAGCTAAGCTTGGTTTTTATTATTACTTCCTCAGGATACAGATGAATTTATTTTACCAACTGGCGCAAATAAAACCCGGGGCAGATTTGAATTGGCGTTCTTTACCATAGGAGGATGCTGCATGACAGGTGGGTTCAGAAATTTTTAATTCCCCTTGATTATTTTTAAGTAGTTAAAAATACTTTTTTTAAAATCCTATTTATCTCTTTCTATTAAAAGTAAAAAATTTCAGTTTTTGAATGTAACTAATTTGGATGAATGCTGTTTTTTATTAGGCGCTGCATTTGGGGCAATGAATGGTCTACGCCTAGGATTGAAGGAAACACAAAACATGGCCTGGTCCAAACCAAAAAATGTTCAGTAAGTCTTATTATCTTATATAGTATTATTTGAATATTAGCTTTTATTGATTTCATAAGTACAACCTTGATATTACAAGTTATTTGGAGTGATAGTTTACTTTTTTATCTTTTTTTCTTATTTAAAAAATCTTATTCAAAAGGAACTAAACAGATTTACCGTGTCTAAGCTTTTAAAAGCAGTATTTTTTTAGTCAGTGCCTCTCAGTTGACTAGTGCTGTCACAACCTAAAGTTGCTATCAGTCCAACAACATCAGTTCCATTTTCCTAGTCCTATGGCATGCTCTCCAAATTGATAAATTCTTAATATGATATTTGGATTATTCAAAGGGTAAATAAACCAGTGGTAGCATGTAAAAGTGATTGCCAGCCTATGCAACCACGAGGTGTCGAAGGGATCAGGTATAA